ATACTTTCCTATTTTTTAGTTTAAAAGAAGTATACTAATAGCACACTTGAATAAACTTCTTTTTCGTAAGGGACTGTATGATGCATTGAACAGATTGCACTTGAATGTATATTCATGGCAACTTTAATATGATTTTTATGGTTAATCCCAGTAGGCTCTCCCATTTTGAATAATTTAAAAGTGTGTAGGCCAATTTGTTATATTTAAAACCAAACCGGTGCGAAAGCTGACCAAATGCTTGTTTGGGTTTTGAAATTCTGCCAAGCTTTCAAAGTGCACAGCCCTTCCTGAAGGTCCTTCTTGCATGCTGAGGTGGTGTGTAATGGATTTGATTCAAGACAGTGGTTTATTCAGCAGTCTTAGCGGGAGCGAACCACAGCTGTCGCTACACATATTTCCTGAAGAACGTTTCTGCCTTGTAGCTGAAGGCTGTGAATTCAGATTTCTCCCAAATGACAGATTATAGGTTTTAAGGAACATCTGTACACACACACACACACACACACACACTGTGGAGGAAAGTGTGTGTTGTGCATTTGTAAGGGAGATGAGCGGGATCAAGTCGGTCCTGTAACTTCCACTCAGTTAAACAACAGCTGGCTTTAGCAAAACAGCTGACAAACATTTCTCTTATGGCCATTATGCTTTAAACAGTGGCTTTGCACATTTACATGTCTGCCACATGTTCACCATACACTTCCTACATATGCACTGTCCAAGTGACTGTCTAATGAGCTTTTTAATGACATTGGCATCATTGAACTGTTTGTATGCAAAGAGTATTTGTTGAAGGCAATTTTCATAATACATATCATTTCAAATCAGTTTTACAGAAAGTCATACTGTTATGTCCAGTCCTTTACTAAGAACAATTTTGCTGAGCGACATGACGAAATAAAGTGACAATACAAGTGATCCTCTGGATTTTAAATCTAGCTATATTGTATTTATAGTACTGTTTGGTACATATATCAGTGGCGCAATGAATCGGGCACGTGTCTGAGTTTTCTAGAAATGAAAATATTGTTCCAAGTGAGAATAAGTGATTCTCAAAAAACATGATAATGAAAATATGATCAGTTGTCGCAGGTCAAAATTCTGAAAAGACTCAAAAGTCTGATGCTTGGGCATCAAAATTATGCATAATTTTGCATTTGGTACATTCTGCTGTAAAAAAAAATAAAAATAAATAATAATAAAATAGGTTAACTCTAAGTTACCCTACCATGTTTCGTTATTAACACCATATATGTACAAATATATAATTAACAAAATATTACAAATATATAAAAATTAATTTAAAAATACAATAATAAAAGTTCATATAAAAAGTGAAATGTGTGTAAATTAACTTCCCAGTGTGTTTCAATAATAATCAATGTTGTATTTAACGATACAAGTAATTTTACTGTAAAATATTGTTGTTGTTAAGTATATGGTTTAACTTATAGTTTTCTGTAAATTTAAAATGATATGTGCAATTTAATTGTAAAATATTATTAGAATGGTTTTTGTGTAAGTAAATGCATAGATTATCTTATTAGTTATGGTTAAAATCTTTCTTTAAAATACATGTAATTTTTTTGTATAAAATATTGTTCAAAATTTTAAGTAAAAACTGTCTATTTCCTGTGAAAAAAGGACATTGCTGTGACATTTAATTATATATTTTTTTATTTAAATGTTGATATTTGGTATTATTATTGATATTTGGATAAAGGCGTCTGCTAAATGACTAAATGTAAATGTATTATTATTGTTATCAGTTATGAACAATTCATGTTATTTAGTCTGTGTTTATTGCATTATATTCATGTCATGTGTATTACATGTGTTCTTGTTTTTTACCCTTTGGGGTCAATATGGACTTCCACCTACTTACAGTACAGAATTATTATGGGGGTTAACAGATTTAAGATGTTCAGGTTCATTTGAGCTATAGCCTAATCATATACTGTATACAGTTATGAACACATTACTCATTTGAATCCAAGAGCTGAATTATGTGTGGGTTAAGAATGCCACTCAACATCTGTTTGAAGTGATTTATTTGAGTGAAGTGATTTTGCTGTTCAGTGGTGTTTGAAGGTTATTGAAAGGTGCTCCTCCAGTATGGTGTTCTGCACTCGTCTTCCCCCTCCACTGAAATAAACGCTTTACTGAATGTCAGGAGAGGCTCTCTTCCCCGTCTGATGTTTGTGTTTTATGGCTGTATGTGGGAAACTCGTATGGAGCGGGCTCAACGTTGATGCAAGTCCACTGTAACTGTGGTTAAGGGTCACACACACACACACACACACACACACACACTGTAGAGGAAAGTGTGTGTTGTGCATTTGTAAGGGAGATGAGCGGGATCAAGTCGGTCCTGTAACTTCCACTCAGTTAAACAACAGCTGGCTTTAGCAAAACAGCTGACAAACATTTCTCTTATGGCCATTATGCTTTAAACAGTGGCTTTGCACATTTACATGTCTGCCATATGTTCACCATACACTTCCTACATATGCACTGTCCAAGTGACTGTCTAATGAGCTTTTTAATGACATTGGCATCATTGAACTGTTTGTATGCAAAGAGTATTTGTTGAAGGCAATTTTCATAATACATATCATTTCAAATCAGTTTTACAGAAAGTCATACTGTTATGTCCAGTCCTTTACTAAGAACAATTTTGCTGAGCGACATGACGAAATAAAGTGACAATACAAGTGATCCTCTGGATTTTAAATCTAGCTATATTGTATTTATAGTACTGTTTGGTACATATATCAGTGGCGCAATGAATCGGGCACGTGTCTGAGTTTTCTAGAAATGAAAATATTGTTCCAAGTGAGAATAAGTGATTCTCAAAAAACATGATAATGAAAATATGATCAGTTGTCGCAGGTCAAAATTCTGAAAAGACTCAAAAGTCTGATGCTTGGGCATCAAAATTATGCATAATTTTGCATTTGGTACATTCTGCTGTAAAAAAAAATAAAAATAAATAATAATAAAATAGGTTAACTCTAAGTTACCCTACCATGTTTCGTTATTAACACCATATATGTACAAATATATAATTAACAAAATATTACAAATATATAAAAATTAATTTAAAAATACAATAATAAAAGTTCATATAAAAAGTGAAATGTGTGTAAATTAACTTCCCAGTGTGTTTCAATAATAATCAATGTTGTATTTAACGATACAAGTAATTTTACTGTAAAATATTGTTGTTGTTATGTATATGGTTTAACTTATAGTTTTCTGTAAATTTAAAATGATATGTGCAATTTAATTGTAAAATATTATTAGAATGGTTTTTGTGTAAGTAAATGCATAGATTATCTTATTAGTTATGGTTAAAATCTTTCTTTAAAATACATGTAATTTTTTTGTATAAAATATTGTTCAAAATTTTAAGTAAAAACTGTCTATTTCCTGTGAAAAAAGGACATTGCTGTGACATTTAATTATATATTTTTTATTTAAATGTTGATATTTGGTATTATTATTGATATTTGGATAAAGGCGTCTGCTAAATGACTAAATGTAAATGTATTATTATTGTTATCAGTTATGAACAATTCATGTTATTTAGTCTGTGTTTATTGCATTATATTCATGTCATGTGTATTACATGTGTTCTTGTTTTTTACCCTTTGGGGTCAATATGGACTTCCACCTACTTACAGTACAGAATTATTATGGGGGTTAACAGATTTAAGATGTTCAGGTTCATTTGAGCTATAGCCTAATCATATACTGTATACAGTTATGAACACATTACTCATTTGAATCCAAGAGCTGAATTATGTGTGGGTTAAGAATGCCACTCAACATCTGTTTGAAGTGATTTATTTGAGTGAAGTGATTTTGCTGTTCAGTGGTGTTTGAAGGTTATTGAAAGGTGCTCCTCCAGTATGGTGTTCTGCACTCGTCTTCCCCCTCCACTGAAATAAACGCTTTACTGAATGTCAGGAGAGGCTCTCTTCCCCGTCTGATGTTTGTGTTTTATGGCTGTATGTGGGAAACTCGTATGGAGCGGGCTCAACGTTGATGCAAGTCCACTGTAACTGTGGTTAAGGGTGTAGTAAACCCGGGGCCCTTCACTTTTATGATCTGAAAGAAAGTAGCTGGAAAACACTGTTGGGAAGAACAGCAAGCACAGCCTCAAATAAACTGCAAACAAAACTAGCTGGATAGATATGGATAAAACCTTCTAATGTGCTAACATATTGCCTGCCATTAGTTTTTAAAATATCAACATTTCTACTTTAAAATGAATCAGGGAAAAACACAACAAATAAATGTATTATATTTATTATGTCCTGACAGAAGAATGTTTATATATAGGCTATGTGACAAAATAATGTTTATATATATATATATATATATATATATATGCATTGTTACACCTTTAGAAAGTATAATGCATTGAAACACGTGACAAAGAGACTATAATCAAATATTATAATGCACTTCAATTGCATTACAACATACATTATAAATACCTTAATAATGCATTATACATTAAGGCTTTAGTAAAAAGTGTTAGTATTAAGTAAAGTAAATTAAACTGAAGCCTGAACCCAACGAGTCTCCTAGAAGCAAGACCACCATGACCTGACTGAACACTAGTGTCAATTCAAGTGTTTTTGTTAACTAAAACTACTAAAAATGTTTTTGGTGATTGAAATAAAGCTGAAATAAAACAAATATTACATGAAAAACTAATGAAAATTAGAAAATGTTGCCATGGCAACTAACTGAAATAAACATTTAAGTTGAAGTACTAAAATTAGTAAAACTAAACCTGAAATAAAAGTGAAATAAATCTATACAGAAATATTGAAAAAAAATGACAAAAACATAACAAAATTACTAGAAACTTAGAAAATTACTAGAAAACAACTTGATATTTTATCAGTTTCTGCATTCCTTGGAAAACAAACTCCTGACCTTGGCATTTCTAGCGCCATTAAGAAAGTTGTCAAGTAAGACAATTGATTTTACATTGACTTTAAAAGCAGTTGGCAGCTCACCTTATGCAATGCCTCCACCACTCTCACCACATCATAGAAAATAACGATGGCCTCGCGTTCGCTCAGTCGCTTCTCTTTGATGACGTAATGCTGCAGGTTGATGAGGTCGGCAGTCTTGTCACTGAAGTCGTGGGCACAGAGGCAGTCAAGCACCAGACAGATTCGTCTCTTCATCTTCCGCACTTTGTTGGCCTCCATGTCCTCGACAATCTCACAGGAGCGGTCCTGAGATGGAGAAGTGGAAGAGATAATGGGTTAGAAAAGTTTTGTGCAGAGAATAATTTGCGCAGAGAATAAAGGGACAGCATAAAAGACTTTACCTCAGACAACCCAGCAGTGCATTTAACAATGCGTAACAAAGCAAACGAACACATAACTGCACCATTAAGCTTTTGAATGGAGCGATGGAAGAAAATACAGGGTTTAAAGAACAAGATGATGCTAATGGACTGGTGGTACAAAAAGCACAGCAGCAATTCTCCTGTATGCCTCGCCATGTGCAACAGATTGAATGATGAAAGCCCTCCTAAAGTCACCTGAGACTGGGGTCAAAAGAGGGCCATGAATCGATCGGCAGTGTGGTTTGTGTTTGCAATGACTGCGCCTTTGAACACAAGAGGCGATCCATAATTAACTGGCCCACTCTAAAGAGAAGCTATAATAAGCCAATCAATACTGCGAGCTTCAATGAATGGCCCTGACAGCACAGTACAGCTTGTTCTGGAGCCGATTTCCACTGGGAAAGAAAGGAGAGGTTGAAAAACTGCGAGAGAAAAAAAAGAAAGCGCCTTGCTCAAAGAGAAAGTAAGTGGTGAGTCACTGCAAGCACTTTGTGATGAAAATGAAAACAACTGAAGGAACAATGATAGAACAAATTAAATTGTGGGACTGAGAATGTACAGTACGGGAGAGAATCTTTAGGCATCTCACAAATCGATTCAATTTTGATTCAATGAGGCACAGCCAGATTCCAAAACAAGTCAATAGGGCATTTAAATTTTGAAAGACGCAAATCTTTGACGAGTTAAAGTGGATTGTGGACAGATGTGCACTCTGATCTGCTAATGAAAAAAATATTTCACCAAAAAAAAAAAAAAAAAAAAAAAAAAAAAACTTTGTGAGGTAGTGTACCTTTTATGAGGTTTTACAACTGTGTGTGTATATATATATATATTCTTATAACTGGAGGAGACGTTAATCAGTCCGATATGAAAAACAAACAAACAAGCAAACAAAAAAAAGAAGGATGCAAGTCCTCTAAGAATAAGAATCTCTATCAACAGTGCTCAGACGCTACAGCACAAAACGACCACTAGGTGGCGCTCTAAGACAGCTTATTTCTGAACAGCTGGCCCTGTTGGCATGCTACATGAGGCTGGTATGCTTCTCAACCTCTAAAACTGTAAACAATTTAACACAAAGTCTGGTGACAAGTATGCGAATTACAATAAATAACTGCATGAATGCCAATAACAGTTGAAGCAATCAGATTCATTTCACTGTTTAGTGGAGTTACAACATAAAATTTTTTCACTCTTATGTCTTCTCTCTCAAGGAGAAACATTGACTACCCACATTGCTGGAATGTAGATTTCCAGTTTAAGCCCTACAAAATGTATTACATTTTCTCAAGAAAATGACAGTGATGTTTGCTTGTACAAAAAGGGTGTTCTGGGTGGTTGCTACATGGTGGCCTAGTGGCCCAAGAAAAAAGTGTATATGATAATCTGATCTGTAAAAATGCCTTCATTCAGTATAAGTCTGTATGATTTTTTAAAATTTTAATTTAAAAATTGTAAAAAAAAATTATGCGCTAGGTACAAAAATTTTAATAGGATTGCTCATTTAATAAGTCCCTTCGATAAGCCACACGATTCAAAATATTTCTCACAAATGTTCATATAGGTAGATACATGCCAAAATACTTAAGGTTAGGTCAGTAGTAACACCAATGTAAAAGAAAATTTATAACAAAATCTGTGATAAAAAAATAAATAAACTGCAGCTGTGGTTGCCTGAACTTTACCATAAAAATATGGTACAGCAACATTCTATGTTTTACAGATTAAACTGAAATTTACAGTAAAAACTATTCAATTAACTGAAACAACGTTAATATACCAAATTACTTAAATCAATGTTTTACCTTTATAACATACTGACAACCACCTAAAAAACACACAAAGAGAAAGCCACATAATGAATAAAACTGAGGTACAAGCTGAGGTAAATACCAATATAAACACTAAGATTAATAGTATATAGAAAGTGTCACACAGGGAATTCTGAGAATATCATTTTACAGTTTTTCAGTGCAAGTTATAAGATGACTTCACTTCCAAAAACTAAAATGACATGAAATGTCCCATTAGATTTATTACAGTTTTACACTTTTTAGTATATAGTGAGGGAGTTTACCATGAACCAATGAACCATGTTTTTACAGTAGCATTTTTATAGTCTCTTACTGTTAAAATTATGATCTTTTTACCTATCAGCAATAGTAATAATAATGCAAGCACCTCAAATGATATAGATAGAAACATCAAGCAATACCACCTGGCATTCATTGTTGGAGTTATGTAATCAGATTACTTTTCAAAGTAACTAGTAAAGTAACACATTACATTAAAAGTAACTTTCCCCAACGTTGCTGGCAATGAATGACCAACTATTAAATTTCACTCTTGTAATATTGCTCTTAGGCTTGTTTAGCCTCTATATGGGTTCTAACAGGTGCTCTTTAACACTTCTATGCCTGAAAGCGTCGATGCCTGTGTTTACTTTGAAGACAGTTTTGATGGAATGTTTCTGTGGGGCAAACGGTCCAATGAAACCCTTATCTTCAAGCAAACTATGCAGCGAAAGCCGTGCTTCCCCTCTGACTGGGCTTGAATAGAGACAAATGATTCCTGCATGTAGGAGGGACTGATGTCTCATGTGGAGGTTTGGAAAAGTTCTCAGCGAGACAGCTGCTGTCTAGACTGTCACCCTGACATCTCACGGTTGTGCCGTAGGGCCAGATCTGAAGAGCAGCACTTGACAAGAAGCTTAACTGATCCTCGCAGCCTGTAAGATTATCTGCTGTCCTTTAAACATCCTATGTCTGTGTCTTGCCTGCTTCTGGAGCAAAAGAAAATGCAAGCAAAGGAGCTCATGTGACGCCTGAACCCACTACACCTGAATGCAGACTCTTTCTCTATGACACTGTAGAAGTGTGATGCAGGTTGACCTAATATCAAAGTGCCACAGTCATTTCTTGATATAAAAAGTACATATTTTACTGCTACCTGAGGTGAAAAAGTGTGCACATTGTGAGACAAGTCATTTTAGCAGTCTTGGATATGGAGGAGTAGGAGTGACGCTTAAAAATAACATTAAGGTCAATTACACGGTCAGTTTACTAATTCAAAACAAATATTAATAAATAAATAAATCACATTTTAAATGGACAAATTAATAGGTAATATTTAAAACGGTTTATTAAATGAAATTTTCTTAAAAATTGTAGTTAAATAAAACAGTAATATAATAAATAAATTAGAAAAAAATAAATTGTGCACATTTTAATTGTGTTCAACAGAAGACAGAAATTCATATAGATTTGAAGACAACTTGAGAGGGAGAGTAAATGATGACAGAATTTTCATTTTTGGGTGAACTGTCCCTTTAAGAGTGCTTTTTTGACCCACTTATCCAGGACTTTATATATAATTTCATAATTATAAGTCACATGAAAATAAACACTCTTCTTTAAAGCAGGATAAAAGATTATTAAAATATAATGATTTAAAATGCACTTGCAAATGCACAAAAGTCCACTTTTTAAAAGTGTTTTTTTTTTTGAGTGTGCTCTCTTTAAGTACACTCATGTGGCCTTTTATGTAATTTACAGTAAATTTTCTGCAAGTACACAAGTGCACATACAGTGCAATTAAGCACAGTTCTTTTTCACAAAGGTTAGCTGGTCAACAGGTCCCTGCAGCCTCACAAATTGCGTAAACCCTGAGAAAACCATCAAAACAGACTAACCACCTCAACCTGAAGACTAGCTAGTCAAGTCTAGAGCAGCTGTTGTTCCAGCAAAGACAACACCAATCAGAACGGCTAACAATAAAACCACACATTGCAGAGAAGAATCAAGTCTGCAAATGCTGATTCAGGCCCGGACCAGTAATATAATGCAGTCTAAATGAGGACTGGCAATGCAACTCGACCCCTTTCCTGCTTTTCCTGCACAATGAGCAAAGCTATTAAAAGCAGCCCTGCCAATAGTAGGAAATACCACAGCTGATGTGAGCTGCCTTAGTGGCTAATGGTGATTATGCTTGATTTAAGCCGAACGTGTGTCATTAACTAATCGAGCAGTGTTCTGCCCTTTCAAAGGAGCCCATTATACTTCAAGAGAGCGTAAACAGCCGGTCCCTAAGAACCATGCTCTCTGGAGTTTAAAGAAACATCATCTATCACCCCGCCAGGCACCTGCAGGTGTGACCTTGCTCTCTCAACACAGCTGACACCCAGGAGAACGATCTCCCAGGCTGCCCTCTTCAGGCTGATGGTGAGGTCAAATGGAAAGCATCATGGGTTATCCATGAAGTGGCTTCAGGCGGATACACGGTTTGTGACATTCAAGGTTTAGGTCAGAAACATACCCTTCAACTGTTGCTCTGCCATGAGAGTGGTTGACCTTTCAGGAGAAAATTGACTGTAAAAGAAGCCATGCTATGCTAATGGATGCTATAGCATAGAGCATAAAACATATCTGTGTTGCATTACACAGCCAAAAAAAAATTTGAGTTACTTTTTTAAAAATTATTATTATTATTATTATTATTTTATTTAAGGTCTGGCATGAAATGGAAACGTTCAAATGCATGCTATTGTGAATGATTCATCCATGCCTGTTTTTTTTTTTTTGGTCATTTTTAATCATTTTTTCATTTTTAATAATTCGATCTTCCCATGAAATGACATACTTCTTTCTGGTGATGTCTGCAGCCATGTTAAGCTAAAAATGGGTTAAGACATGCCTCATGGGGGTTAAGTAATGGCACAAATACCAGTAAATTGACTACCACAAACCTTGGTAAATCTCTGCGTGCTTTATTAAATAGATTTTCATAAATTTTGCATCAGAAAGGAAAACTCCAAAAAATGCATATGTAATAAGGTTAGCCGCAAAAATGACTATCCACACCCTTTAATCGCTAGTTTTTCACTGCGTGTCTTCAGTACATCGTAAATTCTGATGAGGGTTTGCCTGTGCAAGCTGTTAGTAAATTTGGCCCTAAGTCTCGTTTTCTAAAAGATTTATCAAAATGAAGTGAGTTTATGTTTAAAACAAGAGCACATCTATCTGTCCAAGTGATAAGAAAACTAAACTTCAAATGGAACACAATTTTTTTTTATCGGAAAAAAGACTTAATATCTTAAGTCAAGCGGGCAAACTTGCATTCAGCCTCCAGCCAATCAACAACTG